CAGACAGGCTTAGCCCCTGTCAAGAGCTGGAGTCACCTTTAATTAGGAACGCATCGTGGAAGTGCGTCTAAGCCACATTCTCCAATCAATTTCGTCTGTGAGAAAGTGGATGCGTTTGAGTCTCCATTTGTTCCCTGTGCTTGTTCCTTACTTGAGACATGGGACGCAGGGGTATTACTCACTGACAGCCCCCCATACTCCCACCCCAAGCCCCTTTACTTAACGGTGCTCAACCCGTAGGAAGCACTCAGTAAGTGCGCAGACATTGTTCTAGAAGCCTAACATTCTCCCAAACCAATCTCACAGTATCACAAAGTTGGCAAGGTCCCCAGAAGTCTCCTAAGGGGAAGACTGGACACCCTCCACCCCAGCGACTCAGCAATATGGCCTTGATGCTTTTGACTTCAGGCCTCATTTGATGACTTGCAGGTTCCTAAAAGGCTTGCCTCTTGATATTGGCCAGAGAGCCCTAATAACAAGGCCTGGAGACTACAGCCTTATATCTTCATTTCACTTGAAATAATCAGCTTGTCCTTGTGGGATGAGGGTGGAAAGGGGGAGAAAGCAGGAGGGGTTAGAAGTGTATGTGGTTTGGAGGGGGAGCGCGTTACCTATTCCCTTTGAATTGCCAAATGACCTGGGGACCAGGGAAGCTCTACCTGAGCATGGGGTTCTGCCCCAGTTATCCTTTGCACAGAGGTCCTCATCTTAATATTTCAATAGCTCTGTTGGATAGCCTGACGAAAATGGACTCTACCATTACTTTGTTGTGAGACCTTGTGCACGTGCCTTCAACTTTCTGGGCCTCAGTCTCCTCTACAGATCAAGAATAAGACCATTGGGCTAAGTGTGAACAGGAAAGAACAAGGAGCTGGGAACGGATTGGCTAAGCTCTTGTATGCTGGCTTTCTCTCCATTGGATGGCTAGACCATAGTTCCCTGCTCCCACCTAGGAGACTCACAGAAGAACGGTCAGGGATTTCTGTGTTTCCCACTCTCATTTCTAAGGCCTTGAAGAGCCCAAGTTTAGGTACAGTATTCTGCATCCTCTACTTTCCTCTAATCCACCTTTTGTCCTAGAAGCCCACTTTTATGGACTATAATCAGGACATCCTCACTTCCGGTTTTGATTGGGTTTGGCCAATGGGAGGTGATGGCAAGACAGCAAAGGACTGGGGAAGAAAGAGATGGAAGTGAGACTTTCCTGGGGCCTCCCTGCTTTCCCCCTGGCTCTGTCCCTGGCAGTGGCAGCATTTTGTGGTCACGGCTCCTACCGGGAGGCCTCTCTTCCTGGACTCCAGCTTCTGCCAGTCTTCCTTGCAGAGTTCCCTCCCATAGTTTCCTACTCTGGAGGAGTGCAAGAAAGACTTCTGTCATTAGTCACTAGGAACCTTACACGTCTTGTCAGTTTCTCCTGCCCACACACACACCTCTGAACCAGTCCATCCATTAGCAACCCCCTCAGCCATCCTTCTGAATGTGCCTTTTCTTTCCTGCCATATCTAACTGATAACGGATTCTCATGACCTCTCTTCCAACTTTCACAACAGTTATTCCAACTGAGCCCAGGTATGGAGAAGTTCACCTGGAAGACCAAGAGGCAAGTTCTGAAGGGACAAAGCGGCGATTCCTTCCCTGCTGCTGCGCCCTTGCCTTCCAGGGGCTCACACCCTCTCTGATCCTCAGTGCTAGTGAGTAAGTAGAAAGTCATCTAGTGCTCTGCCACCGGATGACATGTTTTACCAAACACTGTTCTATTGCTCACCATCATCATCTGTATTGGTGTAGAAGCTGCATTCCTCTTACTGTCTATCTTATTTTTAGTGGACAGACTCCCAAATACCCTCTCTTTTATTCACGCATAACACATGAATGATTCACAAGTGGGAAAGTCAACAGGGCTCCTTTGACCTTAGTCTTCTCATCGGTAAAAATCAGATAATATAATAATACTCTCAACCTCATAAGGATGGGGTGAGGGTTAAATGAGTAGCATCTGTAAGTACGCAGCAGAGCACTCACTGCAAACTATTAGCTGTTACTTTTACTCTCACGTCTGAGTTATCTTGCCTCACTTTCCTACCATGTGTATGCAGGAAGGGGAACAGGGAACCTGGCTAGGAATTCCCAAATGCCCCCACTTTCAATGCTTTCCTTGGCACGCCATCCCCCTCCATGCCCTATCGTTGAGTAGATTTCCTTCTCTGCCATTTTTTCATCCCAGGAAGCTTCTGGAAGAGCAATCCAGGAAGTTGTAAACTTATGTTTTCTTTTTTCAATTCTAGACCAGTGGTTTTCACATGGTGGTCAAGGGGATTCCTAGGGTTCCCAAGAAGCCCCCATGGACCATAGAAAGTGGCTACTGCTGTAGGTCACACCTTTCAGCTTGCTTTGATCTGAGACTCCTTTTAAGATTCTGTTTAAACAGACTTCTGAGACTTAAAGTTGAGAACCCCTGTATGATTGTTCTGAGATACTGACATTCCAGATCTTATAAGTCTCAATGCTAATTTCTTCGGTCCCATTGCCAAGAAACTTTTTTCCATTCTTATCGTTTGTATTCTTTTCCGTTTCTGATATGATCTGAAGTAGATACGTGAACAAACAAGTCTTGGTGAACTTACATGGGCTGTCCTTCCCAGGTACGCTTCACATTCAGCCAACATTGTCCCCTTAATCCCAGGGGATCCCCTGGGGAAGATAACGACAACACTGTTTAATAGCAGAGTGAAGGCACTTGACTTTTATCAGCACCTGATCTCACCACTGGAGTGCATCCACCCCTGGGAATCCCAGGCTGCTGGGGGACTATCTATGCACTTCAAGACTCTGGCACAGAGAACATGAATGCATGAAGCGAGCAAAAGCCCCAACCTCCAGATATCTGCCTGAAATGCTCTTCTCCCACATTGACACAAGTTTCCCTCCCATTCTCCACTTGGGTCTTTGGGTCAAACATTACCTCATTAGAACTGCCTTCAGACTGGGGGCAAGAGGAACCCCTACCTTGTCTTCTGAGCTCTCCAGTCCTCTTCCAGCCAGGCCCCTTTCCACAGAATTAGAAGCCCGTAGGTCAAGGGGATGTGCCCACCCAAAGCTCCTGTTCCTCACCTCTTCTTAGATCATGCTGAGAGTTCCTGAAACCCTAGAACTCCCTGTTCCAAGAGCACCAGGCCAGCTTCTAAAGATTGCATCAGCCTTTTCCTCAAGGAGGAACCAAGGAGGGGCTATTTGCTAAAGGTATGGATGGAGCTCAGATGTGCAGACAGGGATGTTACAGGTGTAGGCACAAGGTCCCGTGAAGTATGGGACAGAGCTGGGGTGCAAAGAATGGGAGGAAGGTTGAGGGCCAGGGACTAGTTACCACCCAAGAAGCCCCATTCCAGTGCACATCTTAGGGGAAGTCTAAGAATCCTACACTTAAGTTTGACCTTCCAGATTTTTGTGACTGTGTACTTGTCAAGATGAAAGGAGAGGAATTTTACCTAAGTTTAGACTGGCTTATAATAATTTTGAATTAGGTAGACATATGTGTGGGGCTTCCCAGGTGCTCAGTGGTAAAGAATTCTCCTGCCAATGTAGGAGACATGAGTTCGATCCCTGGGTCAGGAAGATCCCCTGAAGGAAATGGCTACTCACTCCAGTATTCTTGCCTGGGAAAACCCATGGACAGAGGAGCCTGGCGGGCTGCAGTCCATGGGGGTCGCAAAGAGTCGGACGCAACTTAATGACTGAACACACACGCATGATATGTTTATCTCCATTTGCACTATTTGCCCTGGCCTTGTATATATCAGGGATGGGTCCACCCCTGACCTCCCTATCTAAAATAAAATACCACTTTCTCTGTCACTTTATTCTTACTTCATTGTACATTTCTTCAGAGCCTTTGTCAATACAGGATCTACATTTATGTCTGTATCCTTGTTTATGTAGGTTCCATGACTGTAGAGTCTTGGTTTTATGTACTGCCTTAGCCTTAGTACCTACAGCAGCGCCTGGCACAAAGAAACCACTCGATAAATGTTGAATGAATAACAAATCTAGTCTCAGAAGACTTACAAGTGAGGTGAGCTAACCCAGGAGGCACAGAGGAAAAAGATCATTTGTGACAACACTCTGAGGAACACCTGCTCCTCTTAAGATAACTCAGCATTGGAGCTATAAAAGATAGAGCAGGGAAAATTAATCATTAACACCTTAATACACACGCACGCAAGATTAGTTATTGGGTTACTCCTGAGAGGGATATGTAAGTGAATATGGAGATCCGTGAGCAAACTGAAGGGTTAGATGTGGGGGACTTGGGCTGCTGGGAGCCTTTATCTCAGGAATCATCCTAACAACTTCAGGGTGGCCAGAACTGCCGGCTGAGCAAACTGACGCTACCCAGTGGGCCACGCCAATCCAGTCCAGTCTATGATAGGAGGGCGCTTCTAATTCACAACCAGTAAGCCCTCAAATAATGTTTTCCTTGGATGGTCACAGGCCTCAGGCGGTGTGGACACATCTGATCCCCGTGGAGTCATGGTGGTTACACACTCAAGAGACTGTCCTTCCACCCCTCACTCTCTCCCACATGCTTCGAAGTCACAACTTCTCGTCGCTTGGTGGAATCCCCAGCACTGTCTGGGAACAACGTCCATCGGTCCAATCCATTCCAACGGATTCCTTTTCCGTTGGGTACGGGGCCTCTGAGAAGCCAAATGACTTTCCCTGGTCGCCCAGAGAGACTCTGTCGCCCGGGACTCTGCCCCCGCGGATGTCCCACACCTATCATTTGGCGGGCGGGGCTCGGGGGCCTGGGCTGCGCTCCCAGCCTTTTCCAGGCGGAGGCGAGAACTCGAGTAGCTCTAAGGTCTCGGCGGACGGCGAAGAGAGGCGCTTCGGCCTTCGTCGGCGCTCTGGCCAGCGGGCGGGGCCAGGGGCGGGACTGGACCATGGTGGGCGGGGCCTGCGGGCTCCACCTCCCCACGGAGGCAGGAGGTGCCGCGGCGGAGCCGCTGAGCTCCAAGTCTTCCGAAAACTTGTGCGCAGCGGTGGCCTCGGCGCGGCGGCCGAGGATGGGGTGGTGCGGCCGCGGCTCCGGGCCGCCGCCGTCGCGGCTGCTGATGCTGCTGTCGCTGCTGCTGGTGGTGTGTGGCGCTGGCGCGGCTCCGCGCTCGGCGCTCTACTCGTCCTCCGACCCGCTGACGCTGCTGCGGGCGGACACGGTGCGCCGCACGGTGCTGGGCTCCCGCAGCGCCTGGGCGGTGGAGTTCTTCGCCTCCTGGTGCGGCCACTGCATCGCCTTCGCCCCGACGTGGAAGGCACTGGCCAACGACGTTAAAGGTGAGAAACTGGGTGCCGGGGTTGGGTGGGGGGAGGCTCGCTCTCCTCGTCCCATCCGGGCGGATCCCCGCCACCTGCCTTGCGGAGCCCCTGGCATTGCCCGCTTCCCCCTGCCCATCACCTCCGCCCATCGTTCTTTCTGCCCCTCCCACTCCCCCCCTCCACCCCCGCGCCCAGTTTCTCAGCCCTCAGCTCCATCTTTAGCTCTCGCCCTTCCCTTTCTTTCTCCCCTTGGCCGATGTCCCGGATTTCTCTCCCTCTTCCCGCGGTCTGGGTCCCCAGACCTGCCCTGCTTTCCATGTCAGTCCTCTGCCGGCTCTCGGCCCCCATGCCTGCGACGTGGTCGCCTTTGTTTCTCGTCGCCGACACCTTACACGGCTTCCTGTAGTTCAGCCTTGTGGCAGCAGCACCCGTCCTACCGAGTTCCCCAGCTGCGATGGGACCAGTACTCATTCGACAGCCCTCTTATCCCCACTCCTTCCTTCCTTGCCCCACCCCTTGGCTAGCAGACCCAGCTGGTACGTAGACTCCTTTCTCAGCTTTATCTTTGAGGCAGAGTTTCCCTGTTCCTGTTTCCAGGCCTCCTGACCTGCTGCCTCCAGCTTTAGTTTCTGGGCCCTTCTTCTCTGTCTCCCCCTCCTTCTGCTTTAACCTCAGGAGCCCAGAGGCCTGATGGAGGGCAGCCTCTTGGTGTGTGTTTGGCCCTTACTCCATTTTACCATTCATTGGCCTGGCCACTAATACCATGTTTTCTTCATTCTAAAGAGACTGTCAGTTGCCATTCTTTTACTATCAGCCTGAGAGGTAGAAGGATAAGACGATCACTAATAGATGGATAGAGATTTAAAGGCATCCTCCATTACAGAAATGTTAATGTTTTTTAAAACTTAAGTTTTGGAGCTGAATAAATAGGGCAACCATAGTAATTTATATTTATCTAGTGCTTACTACAGTGAATGTCAGCTTCCTGAGTAAGTACTTGACATACAGTATCTCAGTTTCCTTTCTCCAAGTCAGGATCCCTGTGGGGTCATCCATCTGTCTAGCCCTGGTGGTGGGTATTTGGGTGGGGCTGGTATGTGGTAGTGGTGTGTTTCAGATATGCTGCTCTGAACAGAGCTATTTCCTGCTTATGGTGCTCGGGGCCCTAGCAGGGCCCCTGACCTTCAGTGGTCACTGAATGAGGACTTCAGTTGTCTTAGGGAATAGGCCTCTTCCTGGAGAGAAAACTGGAGCTGTTGGTCTCCTGCTGTGCTGTTGGTATTTTTTGATAAACTTAACTGTTTGCGGTAGAGTAGTGCATTTGGTGGCACTGGAACCCGCCTGTGTATGCTGGAGACATAAGAGACATGAGTTCGATCCCTGTGTCAGGAAGATCCCCTGGAGGAGGGCAGTATTCTTGCCTGGAGAATCCCATGGACAGAGGAGCCTGGTGGGCTCTATAGGGTCACACAGAGTTGGACATGACTGAGTGACAAACACACAGAACAATGCACTTGTAGATGTTGGTTTTCAAACTCAGGCCCTCTCGTCCCTGGAGCAGCTTGCACAGTGGTTCCTGAAGTGGCCAGATGGAAAGATGTATCATCTGCAAGCCATATGGTCTTGGAAAGTTATTTTGAAACAAAACCATAAACCAGTTTCCCTCCAAATTACATGTAGACACTTGTCTGCATGCCTCTACAGTTCTGTCACCTAATGTGCCTTTTCTCAGCAGTTCTTCCTACTATTTCAGTGATACTACACATCTGGTCAAGGCAGGGGGCAGGTAGAATGTTGAACATAGAATCTGAACACCTAAGAGGTGTTAGGTATTCAGGGGACACTGTGGGCCTGAGTGTCTAAAACTCCTAAGTCAGTTTCCACTTTGAGGCCGTAAGAGGTCCTCCATCTAGAAGATTCTTAGATCTTGAGAGTGATGGAAAGAAAGATTACCTTCCCGCTGACTCATGAGTTCATTCTCTTGCAACTTAGAGATTTCCAGTGAATTGTACATCCGGACACTGACCCCGCCTACTCCTGGATGAGGGTCTTCTCCCCACTGTAGGAAGTAAGAGTCTTTCCCTAAAAAAAAGCAAGTCAAAACTTACCCTTAGAAAGGAAAATGGTGTCTATGGAGATGAGCCACAGTCCATGAGAGGTGGGAGATTTAGGTCCTGGAGTCTCCCATGAGCCATGGAGGTGTCAGCTCCCTAAGCAGGATCAGGTCAGGGCAAACGACTTGTCGAGTCTGATGTTGTGTTGCAGTGATTAAGAATGCCTCCACTCCAGTCCAAGGAGGTGTTTCCTGGTGAGGCCCTTCAACACTTCTGTGTTCTGAGGTTCCTTGAGAAAGTTTGGTTGTGGCCCAGCAGAGGGTTGCTCTCCCACCATCTTGGGCCCAGGGGCCAGAGGCCCCTGCCCTCTGCCTTTGTTATGAATGTATTGGGTAGGAGCAGTGAGACTGAGAAAGGTCATGGGCGGAAGGAAAGGGGGAAGAAAATTGTGCAATCCTGCTCAGTTGGCCTCAGGCCTTTAATCTGACTGGCCAGGGCTTATTTCTTCAGTAACCTGTGGGCTAGGTTCTCTGGGGGTGGTTGTTACCCTGGGGCAAAGCACCTGTTTCTAAGGACTCAGATCATCCCTTTCTATTCCAGAGCAGCTCTTGTTACCTCACCATACATTTGGGAAATCGTGTTCCTTTTAGACCTTCAGGCTTCTTTACTGGCTAATCAGTCGGCAAATATTTGTTGAGTGACTTCTGTGTACAAAGCATTGTTTACATTACTATTGGGTAAATCACCCAGCAGGGAAATTGGCACCCATTAGAAGCTATATTTGAAAAGGGCCAAAAGAGCGTGGCTTAGCCATTTCTTGTTGCGGGAATTCAGGGAAGGGCAAGGTCACAGAGGCCTTTATCTAAACAATTATTTATTACACACTTGCCTTCTGCCAGGCACTGTGCTAAGGGCTTTTACAGGCCATTACAGGCCTTTATACAATCTTTGTGAGAAAACATCTGAGCAACAGATAGCCCTGTTTAAAACAAAACAAAACAAAACAGTTAAGTAACTTGTCCAAGATTACACAGATGCTGGAGGAGGTTCTTTTTTTTAAATGTATTTATTTTTAATTGAAGGATAATTGCTTTACAATATTATGTTGGTTTCTGCCATACATCAGCATGAATCAGTCATGGGTATATATATATATACATCCCCTCCCTCTTGAACCTCTCCCTCCCACTTCCCACTTCATCCCACCCCCTTGTGTTGTCACAGAGCCCCAGTTTGAGTTTCCTCAGTCATATAGCAAATTCCCACTGGCTATCTGTTTTCCATATGGTCCTGTATATGTTTCCATGCTGTTCTCTCTGTTAGTCCCAGCCTCTCCTCCTCCCTGCCCCCCCACCTAGCTCCGGGTCCATAATTCTGTTCTCTGTGTCTGCGATGGAGGAGGTTCTTGCACTCAGCTCCTCCTGACTTTTCAGAGCTAGGCCAGGTGGTGATGGGGGGAAGGAGGAAGGGTACTGCAGGTGAAGAGCGAGATGAGATGTGTGAGACGTGGGTGCTGAGATACAGCGAGTGGTCTTGGTTCCCCTGTTTCTCTCCCAGGCGTGGCCCTTCCGTCCCGCTGGTACCCTTGTGCTACTGGTGCAGAGCCTGGCCCAGGGCAGCCGCTCACTGCTCACCCGTGTAGACCGGGGACACAAGCCTCACAGGATCCACCATGAAGCCATGGGGAGCAGGCCTTCTGCTGCTGCTGTGGTTCGCCTTGACTCAGGCCCCGGGTGTCAGCCAGGTGTGAGGGGCGGGGAAGGCATTTTGGCCATGTCATGGTCTCATGGCCCAGAAGCTGGCAACAAGGAGGAAAGGACGTGGTGGGAACCGCCTAGGCCTGGCTCCAGCTCCCTGAGTCAGGAGGACTCCCCGGAGGCTCCGGTGGGATCTCGTTCTGACCTCTCCACCTGACTGGCTCTAGTGGCCGGGGCAGGCCTGGCCTCTGCCTGATTAGAGGCCCAGGCTGCGTCACCCTCCAAGGCGTCCCAGCCATTCTCCTTGGCTGGAGTGGTTTTCAGAGCTGGAAAGGACGTGGGAGACCTTCATCTCGGCCCTCTTTGACCTGTGAGGAAACAGACCCAGAGCGGAGACGTGAGGTGCTCATGGTGCTTCGGCCAGTGACAGCCGCGAGCAGGCCTTGTCACTCTGGGTCCAGTGCCCCTTCCTGGCCTTGTGAGTGGGGGCGGGGACGCTGCCCATGACTCCAGAAGGGGTCCACCCTCCCCCACCACAAGGTGGTCCTTTCCCACCACCCCAAGGTCTACAACTGTCCCCTGCCTACCCTAAACCTCCCCTCCCATCCCCTCCATTTGCTCACTTACTCTCTTGTCAGTGGAGAGATTACTTTGCCAGGGCAGTAGTTGTACAGGGAAGTTTTTTCTCCCCTGAGAGGAGGGCTGGGCTGAGGCTGCTGATTATTCGGTGTCAGGCCTGCAGGTTGTGGTATTAAGTCACCCAACACCTTAGAAAGCCACCCCCGCCCAGTTGTGTTCCTTTTTGACAGCAGGGCACTTCCCTTAAATGTGGCTTAGCTTTACCAGCGGGTTGGCCAGATAAGGCCCTCTTTATTCCTGGTGCTGTTACTAGAATGATGAATCGGCAGACCTGCCGTGACTAGTGTCAAGCCAGATCTGTGTAGGTCGTTATGGCTCATTAAGGTATTGACATTGATATTCCTGAGAAACATTCCTCAGCCTGGACTCTCCCAGCACCTGACTGGCCCCAGTGTCCCTCTCCCCCTCGGGCTGGGGCTGGTAAGAAGAGGCACCGGGTTTCCATTTCCTGGAGGAACAGGGAATCAAGGCATAAAGAGAAGAGTAGCAGGCTTCCAGGAGCCAGGAGCTGAGAACTCCCACGCATCGGCACCGCCGCCCCCCAGCCCCGACCTCGGCCTTCCCCATTACTAGCACCCTCCCCACCCCGTCCCCTCTGAGTTTCCTGGCTGAACAGAGCAGCTCTCTGTTGTGTCCTGGGCCCTCTCGAGACCAGCAGAGAGGCTCAAATCCTGGGTTCAGATCCCATATTCACCACTGATTAATTGTGTGCCTTGGGCACAGTTATCTGATCTCTGTTTTACAGTCTGAGAAAGCAGGTCTAGAGCTAAATACCTTCTTCCTTTTTCATAGTGGAGTTGTGCACATAAAACTACATAAATAAGGCATACAATAACCTGACCTGCTAGATATCATCATCTGAGTAAGGGCTGAGTCTGTGATATTGACCAGCCCTTGTGTGTTGCAGAAAATGGTATGTATCTAGAAGAGGAAACTGTTTTAACCATTCTCTCTCTCATGGGGAAGGTTGTGATCAGAAGTGAAGTGAAATTCACTCAGTCGTGTCCAATTCTTTGCAACCTCATGGACTGTATCCATGGAATTCTCCAGGCCAGGATACTGAAGTGGGTAGCCTTTCCCTTCTCCAGGGGATCTTCCCAACCCAAGGACCAAATCCGGGTCTCACACATTGCAGGCAGATTCTTTACCTGCTGAGCCACCAGGGAAGCCCTCTGTGATCAGAGCAAACAGCAAAAACGCCAAGGCAGCGTCCTGACCCTGGTGAGGTAGAGGGACGAAAGTGGGTTTTTGGGTCTGGTAGTCCTTAGGCCCCTTGGAGGCATCTTGGTCCCTGTCCTCATTTGGAGAGCAAGGGGAAATGGCGCCCGAGGCGGTGGTGGGGTGAGAGAATCTGGAGCGCGCCCTGGTGCTCATGGAACACTAGCTTTGAACACTAGTCCTCACCGCCCACCACCCCCCTGGCAGTCCCTTGAGAGCCTCATTCCCCAGCGAGCCGCAAGCAACAACTTGGCCTGAGGGAGAGTGGCCCGTGCTCTCTGAGAGGAGAGGAGCAGCTGAGGCCTGCTGTCCTTGGTCACCCTGCCAAGCGGCCCCGTAAGACCCCTGGCCAGGGCCCTCACTGTTGAAAGGACTCAAAATTGTCTCTCTTCCGCCCTTAGATCTAATTGACTTGCTGACTCTCTTGAGAACAGCTGCATCTTTCCTGGGGGTCTCCCGGAAGTAAATGACCAGAGCCCTAGGTATAGAGCTGAAGAAGCTGAGCCTGGAATGTGCTAGATGACTCTACGGGGTGACCTGTGCTTCTTACACTTTGCTGGGCCTCCCTTGGGCAGGAGAGGTGCCATAGAAAGGAGCTCTAGGGTGCTCTGTCTGTGATCCAGGGCATGATCCCATCCCTGGGCAGTTTGCTTCTCTTGCTCCTGCAGGTTACGGGCATTAACTTTACTCCATACCTGAACCTGAGGATAGAATGCGGCTGGGAGATGTTCCAGCCCTGGAGTGGCCCTTGTGTGCTAAGTTGCTCAGTCATGTCTGACTCTTTTCAACCCCATGGACTGTAGCCCGCCAGTCTCCTCTGTCCATGGGATTCTCCAGGCAAGAATACTGGAGTGGGTTGCTATGCCCTCCTCCAGGGGATCTTCCCCACCCAGGGATCAAACTCAAGTGCTGCCTTGGCAGGTGGTTTCTTTGAAGCAGCCCTTGGACTGGGGTCAGTTGTGTAATTCATTTGATAGTCACTGAGCACCTATTGCGTGTAGGGTAATGGGGAAGCTCGGCAAGGAGGATGCAGGGATGGACAGGCTGTGGGATGGACAGGCTTGGAACTGTGTGGTGGAAATGAGAACAGGGTCCTGAGCCTTGGGCTTGGAAGATGACTCCTTCTGGGGGAAAATCCTGTTCCAACTGAGTTGCACCTGACAACTGGAAGTTTGCTGGAAGGGTAAAGGTGGCCGTGCAGTAATCTGGGTGAGCATTGTGCTTTTAAGAAAGAAGAAAATTCTCAAGAGTTCCTGCGGTATGATTTGGGGAAGTGGTAAGGGGATGCTGGGTGGGGAGGAACCAGACCAAAAAAGGCCTTAAGCCTATAGGTTTTCTTCTAGAGGCAATGGGAGCCACCAAAGAATATTGAATAGAGAGTGACATAGATCTGCAGATAGGAAAGATCACTGGAGCCCAGCTAAGCCGGTGATAGAGCATAGTAGAACCTTGGCCAGGAGGGAAATGAGACATTTCATCTGGACAAGAAATCCTGCACTAGCTCACTGGGAGGGTGGTTAGAGGTGAGGTTAGAGATGAAGAACCCAGGAGCAGGGAAAGGAGACTAGACTAGGGAGTGGGCAGGAGGAGACTTGCAAGGGAGGGTGGATAGGACATGGAAGTTGGTTGGGATTAGCGGTTCCGCGTGGTTGGACTGCCTGACTCTGTCCCTCCCACGTGGTGCCCACAGTGGGGGCGGGGGCGGGGAGAGCAGAATGGCAGGGAGGGCAGGAGGGCTGCTGTCCCGAGCCTAGCACGGAGCAGACCCTGATCACTGACCACAGCCCTGTTCGTGCAGGCCACCCCGCCAGCTAGATGTAAGACCAAAGGACACAGGCCATTCGGGATGGCAGGCATTTATAGCTCAAAAGGCTGCCCTTCTGTTCCAGGGGAGCCAGGAGCTCCCTAAATGGGGTTTGATGAGATGGGAGGACGTTGGGAAAATGGCATCACAGGCTGGGGCTCACCTGTTTCTGCAGAACACTTCCATTCATGCCCCACTCCCCCATCTTCACCCCTCCCTCCTGCTGGGATTCGGTGCTAAGAGACTGCCAACCAGAAAGCAGAGGGAGGAGAGGGGTGGGGAGGAAGTGGGCATTGCCTCTGGCCTGCCTCACAGTCCCAGACCCCCTCCCTTGTGTCACCCCTAGAAGGACCAGCTTGGCTGCTCTGAACCTTCAGAGCCTTTCCTTTGAGGGCTGGGTCAGGGTATGCAGTGGTATCCTGCCTCTTCTGTCATGGAAGTGAGGGTGACCCTTCTCCTCTGGGCATAAAAAGTTCCTGGGAGATCCTACGGTTTTTCAGATGTCATAAGGGACAGTTCTGGGGTGAGGTAAGAGGTCCCTGGGTCTTGGGGATGTTATTTGGATATTAGTCTTCTGTCATTAGTGGGTACTGGGTGGGCTGCCTGTGTCAACCCCCCACCCCATCCTGTGCCCCAGATGGGAGGTGAAGGGCCCTGTGGGGAAGATGTGGGCTCCCCGAATCCCTGGGTGGGCTTGCTCCTCCCCTCACTTGCCCAGAAATGCCCATGTTGCAGGGTGCTGTGGGAGTCAGCCCAGACCCCCTGTCTGCATGCCCATGCTGGCCCCTGCCTACCTCCCAGCAGTGCTCCCTCTCCAGCCGGCCTGGTCTGTGTACACGGACTCACAGTCCACCTGCTCCTCGCCTGCCCACCCCATTCCCTGGTTCCCTGGCAACTCGATGACTGTCAAGGCTCCCCTTGACTCCCACCTTTCCTGCCGGGCCCCTGCATGGTCCCCAGGGCTGGTCTCTCCTGTGGCCACATTCCTCCAGGGCCCCGTGCCACTCTGCATGGCACCACCCTTCCGTTGCCACCTCATGGTCTGTGCAGCTTCATGTGCCTGTCTTCCCGTATGACAGGAGCAGCCTCACCATAACGTGGCACTTTGGCGGGTACTCTGGGGGGCACCTGAGCTGGAGCCAGAGCTCACGAGGCCTGCCTGGTTGATGAGTTTGTTTTCTGTTTCTCAGATGCTGGGCTGTGGCCCAGATCGGTGCCATGTTCTCTCTGCCAGCAAGTTCCAGCAGAGGGAGACTCATGGCCTGGGGCCTGACAAAGGAGCAGGGTGCCCAAGCAACTGGCCTGGGCAGCTGCTCGACTCCTTCCAGACCTGGCCTCAGGGCTTCTTTCCCAGCGGCTCTAGATCCCAGGTGTCTTCACCCACCTCCTCTAGACTTCTGCCTTCATCTCTGGTTGGGGAGCCGCTCCTCACTGCCCTATGTCCCACCCACCCAAATGGGGCTGACAGCCAGCACCTTTGGCCACAGAAGCCTTCACCGAGGGTCCACTGGGGAATTCAGAACTCCAGAGGCATGCTCTTCACCCTTCTGGAGCTGACCCTTTCTAGAGGCCAGCAGGGGCTGAGGCAACATCCCAGAGGCTTTTCCCCAGGAGGGCCAGTCTGGTCTCACACCTCCCTTCAGCCCCTGTGTCCCTCCCCCACCCCCGAATAATGGAGAGACACAGATTGCCGTCCTGAGTAGGCTGCTGGTGCTAGGTAACTGTGCCCTAAGCACAGGCTAAATGCAGAATAACCCAGCTATCTCAGAGGCCCCTTTTTGAAGAAGGGGTGACCATTCTCCTTAGAGCTTCTGGGACAGGTGTCATGGGCATTGGTGGGGATGGATTGTACTTACCCAGGGTTTGTTTTTTTTTTTTTTTTTTTTTGTCATTTCAGATTGGAGGCCGGCACTGAATCTCGCTGCCCTGGACTGTGCTGAGGAGACCAACAGCGCAGTTTGCAGAGATTTCAACATCCCTGGCTTCCCGACCGTGAGGGTATGTGACCGGGAGGGGCAATGCGGGCCTGGCGGGGCAGAGTCGTTGGAGCACTTTGCCAGCTGCCCCGTGCTTCCCTGGCATCTGCCTGGCTGAGCTCCGTGGGGGTCCTCCCAGGCTTCTGGGCCTGACCTGCTTAGGTCCCAGCCCTTGGAGTCCTGTGCTTTGATGAGACACTTTCTCTAGAGGCAGAAAGGCATGTGAACTGGGAGGCAGAAAAGAAAGAGGCTCACTTGGTATGTGACCTTCTCCCCTTTATAAAAAGGGAGAAGGGGCTGTGTGTTGTCGTGTTGGGACCCACAGATTTTCACTGTGAAAAGTGATCATCCCCTAGGTTGGTGAGAGCTCCCAGCTCCCAGGAGCCTCTTTCCAATCAACTCCTCCCCCCACCCCCACTGACCTCCCAGGCTTAGAGGGCTGATCTCAACCATGTGAAACCAGGGTTTAGGCTCTGACACACCTGGGGGCAGGATCAGACTCAGGGACCTCATGGTCTCCCCGACAAGGACCCGGGAGACACTGGCAGGCCTTATCCTCCTCAGGCCAGTGCCTTGAGCCTGAGTGGCTCGGAAGTGACCTGTCGGAGAGTTTTAGCCCCATGCCTCAGGCTGCAGGGATACCCATCACGGGAATCGTCACACCCAACACATGACGGCCCGTCACCCGGCTCTGGCTGCAGGCAGCATGAGTGCTCTGATGAGACCTTGCCTGCCCACTGTGGGGCATCAACCACTTAGCATCTGGACGCCTTCCAAGGCTCTCACGTCGGAGGCCCTGGGAAGCCAAGAGCAGCACCTCCTCAGGGCTCAGGTCCGACTGTAATCCAATTAGTTCTCCTCCAAATGAAAGAATCCACATCTCTCTCTCCAGCCACAGATAATTAGCCGGCTCCCCCCAGACTGGCATCTAGAAAAGCAGTTTCCTCTGCTTCCACTAGGATTAAGCAGGAAATGCCTTTGAAGACTGAAAAGTCAAGCATTGTCCCCAAAACAAGAGAACTCTGAGTTCAGGGGCTTCAGTTGCCAGGTGGAACTGTGAACCATATCTGAGCCGGAGGACACCCGGAAAATTCCTCTGGAGAGCAAGACCCTGGGTTCCTCCAGCCACGTCCAGCTCTGAGTCCACATTCTCTTCCAGCCATTTCCAGCTCTGAGTCCATGAGACGGTCCTGTTCTCATGGCCGGTGACCTGCTGGGTTCAGGGTTTCTGTGGCCCAAGAGAGCTCCCTCCTGCACTCCTGTTTACCACTTAGGGTGAGGGCCCGAGCCCCCATTCCACTGGCCTGGGAGGTGTCCTGAGCCAGCAGCTGCTGCCGTTACCATTTAGAGGTGGCAGCAGAGACATTATCTATCAACCATCTCTTTTATGTTAAAGATTCCCATGATGGGGCCGCTGCCCTATCCCCAGCCCCAAGATATGTAACTTGAAATATTCAAAATTATTCTCCAGGGGCAGCATGAAGCCTTCTGTTCTTTCTGCTGAGTCAGGGCAAGCAACGCCTCTTGGGAAGCTGAGGGAAAGAGTCAGGGTGACGGCAGGAGTCCCTGTTCATAGGCCAGAGTTTTGGTCTCACTGAGGGCTCTGCACAGGGGTCCAGCCACCGCCCAACCCCTGGGAGGAGGGTTGGTGATGGGCCTGTGGCCAGGTTGGGACCTTCTTGGGGGGTTCCACGGGGCCTGGCACCTGGGACATTCTGTTTCTGTCTGGGAGAGGCTGGGGCTCAATGGGTGTGAAGGAGGCGGCCCAGCTACACCAGGAGATCCAGAGCTTCTCGGCGCCTACCCGAGTCACGCAGCACACGCAGCCCGAGTGCCTCAAGTGATTCATCATCTCCCCAGCCGCCCAGCTGGCTGTGGGAGGGGTGCTGGGAGGGCCCCTGAGCTGGGCTCCCTGATCTCTCCCTGCCTCCACACGGGCAGCGCCAGGCCGGGCCAGGCGGGGCTGGTAGTCACCTGTCCATTTCTTCAGAACTCCAGAGACCAGTGTGGTGACCTCTCAGCCTCTCCCAGGCAGCCTGCAGTTCAGCTTTGGCAGGAAGAGGTACTCGGTGGCCTGTCCTCAGAGCTCTGGGCCAGGGCGCGTGTAGCTCTAGCTACTGGTGCATCTCAGCTCTAAGGCCCTAAGCAATGGCTTTCAAATCTTGGTACTGTGGCCAGCAATATTTACAAGGAGATCCAGAAGTCAGTTTGGATCCGTTATCCCTAAAAGCAGTCGTTTCATAAAACAATATTCTTAGTAAGTGCAGTATACAGTGATATTTTCTATTCTTTTATTTAAAAAAAAATACTGGCTGTGATTCACTAAGTTGATTTTACAGCTTACTGCTTCTAGTGTTTGGGAAACACTACTCAGATTCCAAATCTCCAGAAATTCTGGCCTACTGAGAGCCCAGTGTGCCTGTGAGCAGTGCAGAGCCCAGAGGTGGCCCTGGCTGCCAGCCGGCCAGAGAGACAGCCCTGGTCCCCTGGGGACTGGAGCCTGTCCTCGCCCCACCCATGAAGGCTGAAAGCTCTAAGATGATGAACAGGCGGGAGAGAGAGTGTTGCTGGTGTAAAGGGGACAGGCCACCCCCAGTGACGTGTGTCATTGTCCCTTTCCTCTGCTTCCTGTCCCTTGTCACCCTGAGCAAACAGCTTCCACCAGCCCATCCTGTTCAGCAAACAGCTGGCCCTGCAGGGCGGGCCAGCTGCGTCAGGGCCCCATCAGACAGGAGCTTGTGCCCAGCTGGAAGAGAAAAAAGGTGAGGGAGGGAGAGGGTAGATGGAAGCAGGTTCTGGCTTGTGCTTGGGGACCTCGAGGCTGGAACCTAGGGTCAGGGAGGCTTTGCCATGAGTCATAGGAGTGCCCCTCAGTGGGTAATGGAACATTGCAGCCAAGGGCCTGGCTGGGATCCAGATTACAGGAAGCAGCAGCCTTGCGTGGGAGCAGACAGAAGTCTTCCCTTTGCAAGATTCTGAGGAGATAATTGACACGAGGTCAAGTCTCGGCTCCCCTGCTTACGGCTTACTGTGACTCGGAAAGTTTGCTTAACAATGCCCTAGCCAACGGCCTCAGTTTCCTCGTCTGAAAAATGGGATGATAATGTCTCCCTAATAGATTGTTGCCACGTGTGAAATGAGGTCTTACCTGTGAGAGTGCCAAGGCACTGCGGTGTTCACCAGAGTTCCATGAATCATAGTGGTCTTCCTTCTGGTTGCCCATGGGCTTGTGGTAGCCCCTCCGTGATGCCTCATTTGAGGCAGTCCATCCACCAGCGGCTGTGGAGTGAGCGCTTTCTGCGGAGACAGCCCTGTGCTCACCATTGCAGGGAGGCCAGACGTGTAAGCCACAGCCAGAAGGATAAGCGAGGCCTGCCAGACAGGAGAGTGCTGTCCGCGGGGCACCGGAGCACCCAGCTAGTTGCCAGGCAGGGGGCGACGTGTCCATGGTGAACGCAGGGGGAGTTCGGGCTCACTGGACTCTCCCTCCTTCGTGTGGGAGGAGGAGCACCCAGAGGAGGGGGACTTCCGCAGGGGGCGGAGGACAGATCAGGTTTGGCTGGGAGGGAGGAGGAGCGTGGGCAGGGGAGGATGTGAGCGCAGAGGCTGTGGGCAGACCCATGTGGTGAGTTGAGAAGGCTGATCCGGCTGGAGCAGAGGCTCCTGTGGGTGCTGAGGCAGGGCCTCCGGAAGGAGGGAGCCCAGGGATGGCCCGTCCTGGAATTCAAGACTGGAAGTAGGGGTTGCAGTCTGGGCTGTTATTTTACGTGTCTTTTGTTAGATGGTGAGATGTCAGGGATTGGGGGACAGGACTCAGAAAGATGTCTCCAGCCTGTCTGGAAAAGGAGATGGGTCCCCTCTCGGCAGTCACTCACACTCTCCCAGGCATCTCCTCCGCAGACAGTCCATAGGGTAGGAACCGTTAAGCTCATGCATATCTTACAGGCTCGTTGTAAGATATTTGGAGGTTATTTGCCTTGGAACTTGTTTCAAAGGCTTGGACTCAATGCCACTGATGGTTGCCACTGGCAAGTGTACTTCCTGCTTAGCCTTATTTGCCCCCTGGGAAAGCAGCTGTTCCTGGATAGGTTGGCAAAGACCTGCCCAAGGCCATCCGGTCACCCGCCTTTGGGGAGATCCCCATGGTTGGGGAAGGCAGAAACTCCTGGGCAAAGTGTTGAGAGGAAAGGGACTGGGTGCTGGCTGCTCCTGGAGGAAAGAAAACTCACTGCTGGCATCTTAATGGCCTGTTTCCAAGGAAGGTGGTGTTTTCCCTTGGGTACGGCACACCCCTCCAACAGCTGACTTAATAAGGATGCATATTAATAAGAGGACAAAAATGTGCCCTGACTCGATTTTAATGTGATTTTTACATGAGCTTCCAAGCTGATCAAAGGGCAGAGGTTCTCTATTCAAGTGAACAGATATCCTTTGAGTGTTTCCCTGTCCTTGACACTGTGCCAGGCACTGTGGGGCTTGTAGAGGTGAGGAAACTGTCGTCCTGTCCTCCCAGTTGGGAGGCAGATGGGTGGAAAGTTCAGGTTCAAGTTCATCATAGCTGAAATGTAAGAAATGGGGGGCAGTGGGAGGTAGGTGTGGTTGGGGGCAGATCCTGGAAGCCCTCAAATGCTGTGAGTTCGGACTTTATTCCTTGGCAGTAGGGCGTGATGGAAGGGCTTTTTAGGAGAAGTGACATGATCAGACCAGAATTATCCTTTAGAAATCCATGCAAAGTGGCAGTGAGGGTGATGGCTGGAAAATGAAAAGATGGAGCATATTACTGTTTCTGGAGCCTGGGTTGGCGGCACAGATAGAGACAGTTGCAGTAGTCCTGGAAGTAGGTGGTAGGCCCTACTCTGGACAAGGCATCTGGTCTTGAAGACTACAGAAGAGGTATCAAAAAAGTCACGTTCACAGAACACAGGGCTTGGGGGAGAGGGAGATCCTGGGTGGCAGGGAGGAGCTGGGTGAGATAAGAAACCTGGGTCGAGAAACAGGTTGGGGGAGGGGTGACTCAGTCTCCCAGAGTGTGTATGTATTAGGGGAGGGGTGCCGTGACATCTGGAAGAAAGAGAAGTTAAGACAGGTGAGGATCTGAGACAGGGTTCAGGTCACAAAGCGTTTGGACAAAGTAGATGACATCAGCAAGGGAGACAAATAACGGGTTTGTCTGTCCATTCACCCGTTTATTCACTCATTCATTCAAAAGCAGAGATTGAGCCCCTCGTTTGTGACAGTACCTCCCTGGGCTTTTTAAACAGAAGAGTGCCACGGTCTGATGCCCAGTGGGAGGAGAAACGGGCTGGAGATGGCAAGGGCCATGGGCACAGGGGAGGAGCCCAGGACGAGGCTGAGACAAGGGCAAGGGGAAGGCCGTGAAGATGGACCACGAAGGCCTGGGTGGTGTCAGGCAAACCAAGGGAGGGTGATGACATGAGGTGGAGATGGAGCATGTCAGGAAGATGTGGCCCAAGAAAACCCTGGCCGAGGGGAGGAGAAGCAGGCAGTAGTAGCATCAGATACTGCGGAGAGAGTAGGAAGGGCTGGAAGGTCACTGGACGGCCAAAGAGAAGGTCAGCCTAGCTTTCCTGGAGCCCTCACAGCTGAGTCATGGGAGCCGGAGCCACAGCCGGCTTCATGGGAAAGAAGAGGACACTGTCTTGAGAAATTTGGCAGTGCAAGAAGATGGGGCATGCCACACCTGGAGAAGCCTCTATTCCCATCCTTCATCCCTTCCTGTCCCTTCTCCTTGTTTTAACTTAAAAAAAAAAAATAGATTTGAGTCTATTTGTAGGCTTAGGGAAGGAGCTGGTAGACTAGGGGAAAGGTGAAAGACAATGATCTATAGGAAAAAGTTCCTCTGGAGTGTGAGGTGTGGGAAACAGCACTCTGGTGGTGACAGTGTTCTGCGAGGTGGCTGGGACAGAAGGGACGGCTGTGTGAGGGGCGCTCTTAAGAGTTCCCGCAAGCCCCTAACTCAGGCCCCTATCTGACTTCCCGCTGCCCAGGGCTGCCGCCTTCAGAAGGCTCAGCTCGGGTCTGGGGGGCTCCTGTTTGATGGAGGTCATGCCAACCCCCTTTCCATAAGGCCCCCGCTCAGATTTTGGAGAGCTGATGGTTGAAGAAGAGTCATCATACTCCTCTTCAGTAACGGACAATAGCAACTATCACCACAGAAAAGCCACACGGCTTAAGGCGTCATGTCGTCAGTCATGTTTTTACGCCTGTGGAAGCAAGTTGAAGTCTGTCCTGTCTGTACAAGGACCCCATCACTCTGAGTAACTGCAGCTGTAGAGGCTAACCTCTGGAATATTATTTGTGAGCAAACCAAACCCCCAGTAGGTACATCTTTTATTTTGTTTCGGAGAAAAAAATCAGCGTATAACATGCCCTCTCTACTTGATCTCATGTCATAAGCCTGGAAGAGTGTGCTCATTTTTACAAGTATAAGGATGGCATATAGTTTTCTTAATTCAAAGTATATTCAGTATCTACAAAGAACACTATTAGGAATACAAGTGGCATGTGTCAGTGAATGGTTTTCACCCAGAATAGAAGTTTATATTAATGCTGTAAGTAGAGAGAGGATAAAATAGGGTCCAGGTGAGGTCAGCAGGAGCAGACTGCAGGTGGGAAGAGGTGCGTGCCTTCTCCACATCTTTATTAGTCACGGAGGAGAGGTGGGCAGGTGGCCTCCACATTTTAGTTTCCTACCTACAAATGGCTAGAACAGACAGGTCCGGCTGATCGGTGTTTCCTAGTATTTAAAAGGAACAAGGAAAGGGGATGATGATGTTAACATGTGTTGATTTCTTGCTGTCTGTACCAGGTACCATGCTAAGCACTTTAGTTGTCATTGAATCGTCACAGTTCTCCAGGGTCAACAGTGTCATCCTCATCTTAAAGATGAGAAGGTTCAGAGAGGTGAACAGATTGCCTGAGGTCACACAGCAAGAGCGTAGCCGAGCCAGGCCTTGAACCCAGGCCTGCACTCAGCCACCAGCTTGGATCAGGCCGAACGGCCATGCTGTTGGAGACAGAGGCCCAAGATGGCTACAGGTAGCCCTGAGGTTAGGGACCTCAGGCAGAGACCTCTCCCCAGCCTCCCAGTTAAGTAGCCACCTGTCAGGACAACTGAACCCCGTTCCCTCCTGAGCCCAGGCCAGAGTTCTGGCTGCTCTCTAACACTTAGACGGGAGCCTGGGTTCTGAGGTGCCATCCTCTGTCCTCTCTCTCAAAGGGGTGACAGGCTGGCCCTGAGTGTCATGTGAATGGGGAGAGTTAGCCTGGCCCATGTGTAACAAGGCTTGTTCTCTCAGGGGCTCAAGCCTACCCTTCAGTAGGACCGAACTGGAGACGCCTCCCTTCTGGAGTGTCTGCCGAGGCAGGCCGAGGCAGGCCGAGAGTCCTCGGGGGCCAGAGACGCCAGCCTCCCTGCCCCCTTTCCAAGATAAGGAGCCAGGACAGACGGCCTCCAAGGGCTACTGACATTTTCCAGGGTGGGGGTGGGGTTATGAAGTGACTTCCCTTTATTTTTTTCAGACGGGCCTGCATCGTTTATTCACAGAGGAACTATTTTCTAGTCCTACGTGCTGGGTCCCTGGGCTTTGTAGAAACAGGCCACCTCCAGTCGAGTGTCTGAGCCACAGCTCCCCCGGGTGCTCCAGGGCTGTGGGGGCCAGGGTCAGGCGCAGGACACTGGGAGGAGGAACCCAGGTCCTCTCCAAGAGCAGACACCTCCTCCTCTCATTTTACAGACCGAGAAACTGAGGCTCACAAAAGTCATTTCCTCACAGCCGCCCCTTTTAGTAAACAACTGGGCCACAAACGCAGACCCAGCTGTCGTGGCTGTGGTGCTCGGAGCTCCACTGACTCCTGCCTGTGTGTTTGTTTCCAGTTCTTTAAGGCCTTCTCCAAGACCGGCTCAGGAACCACGCTGTCAGGTGGGTGTCCCGGCTCTCGGGGTCCCATTGGCACTCTCCGCGTCTTCCTCTCCCTCCTTCTCCTGGGCTTCTACTGTGGGGAGAGAGAGCCCAGCTAGCTCTGCAGGGGGAGGAGGGCCCCAGTCAAAGCCAGAGGGGTGACCTCCTGAACGTGCCCTCCCCAGCCAGCCTGGGAGATACCTCTGGGAAAATGGGGTCAGGTGTTCCCAGAATAGCCCTTGTGTCAAAGTGGGGTGGGCACCCAGAGGGGCAGCCAGACAGCGTGCGGAGGGCTCTTGGGGTGGTCTCTCCTGCCCTGAGGGATGGGTCCCTCTGCCATGCTTAGGGCCGGGGGGTGACGCCCACCCGCCTCATGTGGAGGGGACTGGCACGTGCTTCGTCTCGCTCAGAGCTAGCCCGTGTGCTGGGCCCTGAGGGGAGCTGGGATTTGCACCCTTCTCATCCCCCGCCCCGCTCTCGCTCCCCCACCCCATCGTCATTTACAGTGGCTGGAGCTGATGTGCAGACGCTGCGGGAGAGGCTCATCGATGCACTGGAGTCCCACACTGACACGTGGCCCCCGGCCTGTCCCCCACTGGAGCCTGCCAGGTAGTTGGGGCTGGGGTGGGCCCGGGTGGCAGGAAGGCAGGCCTGGCAGTGAGAGGGCGGTGGGGACAGCAGGGCCAGGCAGCGGCTTGGGTCCTGCTGTTGCCTGTGCTGTGGGCCAGAGCCTGGAGCTGCTGGGAGCAGCTGGCGGAGGGCTTCCCGTTGCTGGAGAAGCCCTGACTTCCTGGGGCTGACGGGGGTGAGAGGGCCCACCCCACCGGGTGGGAAGGAAAGGATGGACTGGGGTTCTCCAGGCCATACCTGCTCTGCTCCTCACAACCTATGCTCAGGAACCTTTGAGGAATGAGACAGGATGTCACACAGTCTGACGCAGGGAGGGTCCCTGAGAGGGTGGGCGCGGGGAGGAAAGAAGGAGACCAGACGCCATTTAGAGGAAATGGGACGGGGAACTGAGAAGCACAAAGCCCCGTCAGATGAAGGTGCGCCTTTGCTGAGCCGTGGCTGTGCCTGGGGCGGGGGCGGGGTGGGGTACTGACTGTGCACCCCAGCCCCCCAACCCCACCCCTGCGCTGCAGGGCATCTGGTGGCTGGGATTCAGGCAGCCTTTCAGGATTGCCTCTGTTCTAGGAAATCAGGATAACAGGGTGCATGGTGTCTGACCCTGACTCCCCCATGAGGGAGACAGGGAGATTGAAAACACGAGATCCTGCCCTTCTGGATGAGAACTCCAGATAGGAGACAGCCCACCTGCGGGGCCAAAAAGGAACAGATGCAAGGACCAGCCAGGACTGCTGGAGGTGCCCAGCTGTGGGACACAGTGAAGGTTCCGGGGGCCGAGAGGGCCTCAGGAGGCAGACACAGGCTTAGCGCAGCCTAAGTGTGTGTGCTGGTGTCTTGAAAGCTGAGGCCCTGCGGAGAGATTGTGTTTCCAAGCGTCAGTGGCTGTTGAATCCAAGTCACAATGATTCTTTTATCCTCTTTCCCAATTCTTCATCCTCCCAGAGAGCCTCCCAGAGACCCTGGACTGAATATCTGGTCTTGGTGTGGTTCGGGGGTTCCATAAGCAGACCCCCTCTCTGCAGGAAACACTCAGGCCAGCCTGTATACCCTGCTCCTCACTTCTGACATTTCTCAATGACTGTGTCTCTATGTCTCCCTTTCCCATACCCATTCTTCCCTCATGGTGCCTTTCCAGCCCAGAGGGGTCTCAAAAGCAATCAGCTGGGTAAACCTGCCAGCCTCTCTCAAAGTGACCCTTCTAAAGAGTGTTAGGGAGGAGGCAGAGACGTGTGATGGAAGGTGGGCTGCCTCCTCCAGAAGTGTGAGAGGGGATGAATGGGGTGGGGTCGGGCTGTGTGGACAGCAGCCTGCAGGGCCTGCTCTTCTGCCAGCCTGGGGGATGCCTGCTACCACCTCAGCAACTGTCAGCATCCATCCATCCACTGGGGTACACTCTGGCCCCCACGTCTCTGACATGTCGTTTTTACCGTCACTAGGCTGGAATCCATTGGTCCCAAGTTGCACCTTCAGTTTGGAGGTAACCAGCTGTTGTGTCCTTGGATCCAGAGAAGGGAAACAGATCATCAGTTTGAGGATAAAAGTAGAGGCCATCATGTCCTGTTATGTGTCTGAGGAGGTTCTGCTTTTTAATTGAAATGAGGACACAGATTATTTTTGTATTATGTAATTGTTTTCTGTTGAAACTCTGCATTTTAAAAACACTTTATATCTTAATTCCTTTGATTTTGGGGGGAATAATAAAATTTGACTTATTAATTTCCACATTTTTCCTGGGACCTTAGTTTCCTTGTCTTAAAATGAGGAGGTTAAAAATCTTATGATAAGGTTAAATGGCTTCTAAGATTTCCTGCACCCAGGACTTTCTGATTTTTTAATTCCTCTTTTATGCCTGCTACAGGAGAGGAAAAAGCAAATCTCCCAGTTGGTAGTGACTTGGCACAGACTAAGACTTGTGTCTGATAGCTAATAAACACCAGTCTCTTAGGGGACCAATAAAAACTGCAGTTCTAAGTCTGAGCCGTACCCTGGGCCAGAGCACAGAAATAACTGGTCTCAAAGCTCGCCTCCCCAGGTCTCCTCCCTAGACTGCTCATACTCACTCCTGACTCTGCAAAAACAACCCAAATAACTTGGTGAAATGAACCAGCCATTAGTTTAGGTTTAGGTAACAGAGAATCTTTTGAGAATCAATGTTTGGTTTACTCCTGCTGGAAGGCTGGTATGGAGACTTCTGCAAAGCCTTGTGTGAAAACAGCAGATGTGTGTGGCGGTCCCCACAGTACTGTGTCTGCCAAGACTCTGGCTGTCACCAGCAGTTTTGCTTTATTCTCACCACAGAAAGAGTGACTGCCAGCGGTGTCTCTTGCAGGCTGGAGGAGATTACTGGATTCTTTGCAAGAAACAATGAAGAGTACCTGGCCCTGATCTTTGAAAAGGAAGGCTCCTACCTGGGTAGAGAGGTGAGCTGCCTGCAGGGTTCCTGCATCTCCTGGATAGACATTGGGAGACAGAGTCTAATGAGTTCAAGAGCAGGGCTGATCCTGTGCATGTCTTAGCCCAGCACTGGCCTTCCCCCTGCTGGCGGAAGCAGGGGAGTGTAGGAGCTGGACCTTTCTGTTTAAAGCTTTTTTGTCTGTTTTGATCTTCCTCTTGGAAACTGAGGGCTTCCCAGATGGCTCAGTGGTAAAGAATCTGCCTGCCAATGCTGGTGATTCAGGAGACTCGAGTTCAATCCCTGGGTTCAGAAGATCCCCTGGAGGAGAAAGTGGCAACCCACTCCAGTATTTTTGCCTGAGAAATTCTATGGACTGAGGAGCCTGGAGGGCTACAGTCCGTAGGATCGCAAGGAGTTGGACACGACTGAGCATGCACATATGCATGGAAAATGAAAATGATAACACTTTCTGTTTATTAAGCCTTGCTAAGTTGCTGACACACATAGTTGCTAATTTTTCTAATTAACAAAGATGGTCAAATAACAGGCCGAAAATCACACAGCCAGTGAGTTGGTAGAGCAGGACTTCAAACCAGGTCTGTCTACCTCCAAAGCTCATATTGTTCCTATGGTACCCTGCCTCCAAAGAAGTGGAGTAACAAATTGGGGGGGAGAGAACCTCAAAGAGCATCTAGTCCTTCTTGAGGACCTGGGGTCCCTACCCAGGTGAAGCAGATACCAAAATCAGGCTGGTTGGAATCTCCACTCCAACATTTATGATCAGAGGTCCTCAACCTTTTTGGCACCAGGGACTGGTTTTGTGGAAAACATTTTCCATTTTCCATGAAGGGAGGGGATAGTTTCAGAATGATTCAAACACATTTCACTTATTGTGCACTTTATTTCTAATCTAATGCTACTGCTGATCTGACAGGAGGCACCAGTCTGCAGCCTGGAGGCTGGGGACCCCTGACTTATGTGATACGGCTGTGATCATGTTACTCAACTTTTCTGATCTCATTTCCCTCTCTTTGAAGTGGTGATAATTACCTTTTGTCAGAGAGTGGTTGGGAACAGCAAGTGAGACAGCATAGGAGAAGAACACAGATGAGTAGCTGGCAAAGAGTATGAATTTTATAAAGATCCATCCCCAGCCTGATGTATACAGCCCACTGTTCTGTCACTGCATCATGGACGTCTCAGGCCCCTGGGCTTTTTCCAGGTGTAGAGGTGGGACAGGCCAGTGCCCAGGAGATGTTCCAAGGCAGTGCAAGGAGATAAGGAGAGAGGGGATGAAATTAAACACCACTGTTGGCTCTGGATGGTTTTCCTCCTGAAACTCACCAACCATAGTAGAGCACCCTGAGCTGTCTTCAGACCTCTCAGCCTTAAGACGGAAAGCATGGAGGTGGGAGGAGCAGGGAACTTTGCTGAAGGATGCCTGGCCCTTCTGGGGTCCCCTTCCACACCTGGGGTCATGCCTGTAGAGATGATAGATGAATGTTCATTGGACTAGCTCTCCCCACTATACTCCCTCCATCCCTCTAATAAGCAGGAGCACGGGTCTCATGTTCATGCAGAGGCGCTCAGGGATGGGTGGTTTGAGAGGCAGGAGGACACACTGGCCAAGAGCCCTGGCTCTGGAGGCAGATTGACTTGGGATTTCTAGCCCAGCTCAGGCACTTGCTAGCTGTGTGATCTGATCACGTGATCTCACTGCTGAGCTTCAGCTTCTGCCTCTACTGTACATAGGAGTTTGATTTTTTAAACAGATACTTAACATATGTACTATTTACTAGTCCTTATTAGAAGCATTCTTGTAAAATTAATCCATTCAGTCTTCTTAACAGCTCTTGGAGGGGGGAATTATTACAGTTTTGCAAGTAAGGAAATTGAGTCTGGGAGAGATTTAGTCTGATCGGGCCAGGATTTAAACCCAAGCAGCCATGGTATTCTGTGCCACCTGGCTTAGTCTCCTAGCAGTTGTTCCTATATCATAGTTTATGTTATTTTTAAAGATTAAATGAAGCAATCTATATATAAAACATAATACATACTCAAATACTACCTAATATTATATTTCTCCTTCTTAATGCTAGTGCTAAGTCGATTCAGTCGTGTCCGACTCTTTGTGACCCTATGGACCATAGGCTTCTCTACCCATGGGATTCTCCAGGCATTAGTACTGGAGTGGGTTGCCATTTCCTCCTCCAGGAGATCTTCCCAACCCAGGGATCGGACCTGCGTCTCTTACATCTCCTGCATTGGCAGGCGGGTTCTTCTTCTTAACTCTTTCTAAAAATAAAACCATGTGTCTCAGTGCTTTTCTGATTTGGGACATAGATAGAAAGTCTTACAAATATAAAAATGAAACCACATTTTATTATGCCTTTTGTAATTCGTTGGAAAGAAATTTACATTAAATTGGGATTGTTCTCAAAGATTCGAGATGTATGGTCTGCACAGTTCCGAGGCGGCAGTGTTTGCACGCCTTGCTGTGGGTTGGATGTGGTTGGTGGCTGTCACTCATCACGAAAGCCTACTCTTGGAAAGGTTGAGAGTCTGGCTGGAGCACAGCTGTCACCCAGGTGCATGCCCAGGGCTCCCTCTGCCCAGTGGCCGCCCCGTCCTGATGTCCCCCTGTCTCTGCAGGTGACGTTGGACCTGTCGCAGCACCAGGGCATAGCGGTGCGCAGGGTCCTGAACACGGAGCGTGATGTGGTGAACAAGTTTGGTGTCACCAGTTTCCCATCTTGCTACCTGCTGTCTCGGAACGGCTCCTTCTCCCGGGTCCCTGCGTGAGTGTCTCTCCACCCGTCTCCCCCATCCGTACCTGTGTTTCTCCTTTCTTCCTGCCTGGAGAGGCCGCCAGCCTTTCACAGGGGCTGATGAGTTCTTTGTCTTGCAAGTCTCCTGAGGAGTCCCTGGGCAAGCAGGGAGCACCCTCTGCAGGAGGTGCAGATGTCTGCCTATGGCAGGGTAGGGGGGTCTACAGCCTGAAGTTGGGGCCCAGGGCGCTGCACACACACCTCTGCCCCCCAGCTCAGCAGTCCAGGCCCAGGTCTCTAGCGCACTCAGCACCCAGCCAGCGCCAGTGCTTCTGCACCAACCCCACCACAGCCCTGGCCCTATTCCCCACCCTCCTCTCTTCCCAGACAGACTCCTTGGCAGGCTGCAGGCCTGGCAAGCACTCAGCTATGCCTGACCCTCCCTCCCTTTGGTTTTCTAATTGCAGAAAAGTTCATTAGGAGCCAGACAATAGTCAGTTCCAAAATGCCAAGAGAAAACAATCAGGCCAGCCGCAGCCCCTCTGTCAGGCTCCCGCTGCTGAATGGCCTGTTAAATGGCACCAGATGGTGCCTCGGTGCCCTCCCCGGGCAGATGATTGATGTCCGCCCGGCCCCGCAGGCAGGAGCCCGAGGGCCAGGGAGACCGAGGCCGGCCCGAGATGTCCAATGAGCCGCTTCTCGGGGCCATCCATGCCATCCCGCTCTGGGGCCGGGCAGTGTGGCCCCTGGTCCTCCCGGTCACCCGGCAGCATGGGGCCAGGGCTCGTCAGGAGCGCGGCCGGAGAGGAGGCAGGATGGGAGCGGAGGCATTGTTTCTGCTCTTGGAGTTGTTGAAGGGGAAAATGGTTTGTGACGATGCTGCTTCCGAGCCATCTGCTCATTGATCAACATCGGGCTGGGACAGTGGAGTGGAAAGCAATGTTTCTTGATGCTGGCTCCCCCGGGGTGTCCCATCACACGGCTGGGCTTCACGTCCTTCCCTCCAGTGGCCCCAACCAGGAGGCGTCACCCGCCCCTCAGGACTCCTCTTTATGAGAAGAGACAGGGAAATCAAAAGGATTGGAAGAGACGAGAATTTCAGTGGTTTGACGGGTTGTGGCTGTGATTTTTTTTCAAAGTCAAGTCTCAAACTTCCGTTGACCTCCTTGGGGCGTGATGTCGCCTCTGGTACCTTGGAGCCAGCTTCTGCACTTCCTTGAGGCCACACACGCTCCCCTGTATCTTTGGTCTCTGGGGAGGATCATCAGACCCACCATCCCGTCTGCAGCCAGAAGTAGCACTCTCCCCAGAAGCCCCACCGGCTCTGAAAGTGCCCTGTCCCCCACCCCCACCTCTCTGGGGCAGGTCTAGGAATTCACAGGCCCAGCCTCTTTCCCAAGTGGAATTTTGGCTTCAGACTGGTGTTAAGCAGACTTAGCACAGCATGGCCAGTGAATAGAAAGGTTAACGTGAGGCGGGGGTGCCTCGCTTTTGACCTCACTGAGGATAAGATCAAACCAAGTTCAGGTATTTCTTTTCTTTTTTTTTTTTTACAGTTTGAAAAGACTTTATTTTTTTTTTACCCCTTTTTTTTTCCATTTATTTTTATTAGTTGGAGGCTAATTACTTTACATCATTGCAGTGGTTTTTGTCATACATTGAAATGAATTAGCCATGGATTTACATGTATTCCCCATCCCGGTCCCCCCTCCCACCTCCCTCTCCACCCGATCCCTCTGGGTCTTCCCAGTGCACCAGGCCCGAGCACTTGTCTCATGCGCTCAGGTATTTCTTAATAAACATTTTCATCAGGGGAGTCACCGGCCTTCTGTCTTGTCCTGAGTTAGCTCTGGGGTCTCACTCCTCTGCGCTCACTGCCTCTCTCCGGTGATTCCCTTCCCTCACAGGCTTACAGAATCCAGGTCTTCCTACACCACTTACCTGCAGAAGTTTTCCGGGAGCACCAGGGGGGCTGTCCAGACCACAGCTGCGCCAGCCACCACCAGCGCGGTAGCTCCCACCGTGTGGAAAATTGCAGATCGGTAAGACCTCGCCTCATCCCTTCCCCTCTCCACCTTCTCCTTGGATCACAGCACCCCCGGCCCACCTCTTCCTTCCACACACTGTTCCTTGTCACAAGCCTGACTCCAGAGGGCTGGCCTTGGCCTTAGGGGGACCTGGGCTGCTGGCAGAGTCTTTCTGCTGGGGCAGCAGCATCTGATGACTGCGTTCTTCACGATGGAATGCATACTTTCTGATGCATTCCGTAAGGAATACTTTCCGCATTCCTTAAGCTTAACTCTATTCAAGACCAAGTAGAATCAGCTTGGGAGGATGCTATGCAGCCTCCAAAACAACTTCCCACCCAAGCAATTACTTCTCCAGTACAGATTTTTGAGTGCCTGCTGTGTGCTAGGCACCAGGAATACTGATTGTGCAGGGCAGATATGGTCCCTCCCCAGAGATTACAGTCCTTTCACAGCATCCCTTCTAGGAAGGCACCCGACCTCACTTGAATGCCTCTGGGGTAGGGGAGCTCACTACTTTTCTTCAGCATAGTCAGTATCTTTGTGCACAGCTGTAAGCACAAGGAAGCTGTTCTTCTCTCTCAGCCTCTTCAGGTCCGCCCTGGGGGTAGAATTTCTGCCTGTAGGACAGGGAGATAGGGCTGTGGACTCCTGCTCTGGCCCCCAGGAGTGTACCATGTGGAAATGGCTGAGCAGGAGGCTCAGAGCTGAATCCAAAGGGTAGCCTCCTGTAGGGGGCTGCACAGGAGAAGTGGGAGTGGGGTCATCAGACTCCAGGAAGGATTTTGCATCCCATCATGAGGGACTCTAAGGATGGAAAGTGCTAATGGAGAGTTATTTAGTAAATCAGGTGAGTAGGAAAGAGAAAGTGAGTGTGATCATTGTAATTATTCAAATTGTAATTCTTCTGATTATTCAGATTGCTGGGATGGCTGGCACTTCTAGCCACATGTGCTGGGCTCTGCTCAGTGCTTCTGTCCATTAACTCCTTTAGTCGGGGGCCACTCCTTGATGCAGAACACAGGAACGGAGAAGGAAACTGAGACCCCAGGACAGAGAAAGGGAGCAGAGAGAGGGGACTTGGGCAGGAGGGTAAAGCGCAGGTGGCCAGAGTGCCCACCCGTCAGCTGATCTTGCTGGTTCCCACCACCCTGGGAGGCAGGTGGGGCAAAAGTTCATTTTACCTGTGAGATCACTGTGGCTGGAGAGGTGGGTTGAGTTGCCCAAGCTCCCAGGGCTAGCCCACCATAGAACGAGACCAGAACCCAAGGGTTAGGAGGCAAGGGTAAAGAAGCAGCCCGTCCTTCAGGGCCCTGGGCCCAGATCCCACGAGAGCAGTGATGGGCACAGGGTGAAGCAGCCAGCGTGGAGCCTGCAACCCTTCTCCCAGGGCTGGGGTCAGCCCAAGAGGTGTGAGATGGATCCCCACCTGATGCCCATGGTCTGGCAGCTGCAAGAACAGCAATCAAAATAACTGGAAACCCCACTTCCCCATTTCCAAAACCCCAGTCTCATCCTTGGCAGGCAGCCAAACCCAGGGTCTTTCAGAGGGCCCGGCTTCTCCAAAGCCATGTTGTGTGGGTGCCCCGGTGGGTCTACTCGTCTGCCCCTTGGAGTCTTTGTTCGGATCAGAGCAGGAAGCTCAGCCTTCTCGTGGTCTTCTGTGAGTGCTAGGAGGGGCGGGGCGTGGGCCTGCAGACCCCACCCTGTGCCAGGAGCTACCGAGGGTTTTGTACGTGTGCTTTTGTTTAATCCTCTCAGCAGCCTACCTGTGAGCAAGTTGTTACTATCCCCATCTTACAGATGAGGCTTTGAGGCTCAGAGACATTAAGTAATCCACCCAGGGTCACATAGCTAGTTACTGGCAGAGCCAAATGCGAGTGTGTAGGACTCTGTGACCATCGGGAGTGCCTCCTCTTCCCTCCCTCTGGCCCTGGGTGCTCCTCCTCCTGCCTGCCCCAGGGTTATCACCCCTTTCTCTCCCTGGCTCCCTCTGGGTCCTCAGCTCCAAGATCTACATGGCTGACCTGGAATCCGCACTGCACTACATCCTCCGGATAGAAGTGGGCAAGTTCTCCGTCCTGGAGGGGCAGCGCCTGATAGCCCTGAAAAAGTTCATGGCAGTGCTGGCCCAGGTGAGCGGGGCCCCGGGGCCCCTCATTCGGGGGCCCCCTCATTCGGCAGCTCCACTTGGGGCCCATGTGCATCCCTGCAGGCATGTGCTGTGCCCGCCTGGAGGAGTCAGCCCGGCCCCTCCCTCTGGAGCTCGTGGTTGGGTTCGGATCTTTGGACCCACCAGCCGTCCCAGTCACACGCCCCCCAACCCCACGGGACAACCCCCTTCCCCTGTGCAGGGAGGTGGGTGGGACATGGGGCCGGATGCCCGGGGGATATTCCCATTTGCGCACATCTGCCTGCCTGAGTCCTCCACCTCAGGCCGAGCCTGGACTGTGGCCTTTCACTCCCTGTCATGATCAGTGGGAAACGAGAAGCCGTGGACCCCGCAGTGAAGGAATGAAGGCTTCTCTGAGTCTCTACTTTCCCCTCTCAGGCTCAGAGTCAGAGGTAGCTCCCTGGCCTTAGCCATGCCTTCCTCATTCCTCTGTAGTCTCCTGCCAGCATGGCTCCTCCTCGTAAGTAGCCATGTAAGTGCAGCTGCTACTTACGGAGGACCTGATGTGTATCAGGCATTTAATCCTCTCAGTCTCACTTCAGGGTGGCGAGTACTACACCCCTTAGGAGGTGCAGGTTACCCAAGTGACCTGCCTTAGGCCTCCCGGGAGGAGGTGTCATGGCCAGGGTTTGAACTGAGGTTCCAGGTTCAGTCCCCTGGAGAAGGAAATGGCAACCCACTCCAGGATTCTTGCCTGGAGAGTCCCATGAACAGAGGAGCCTGGCAGGCTATAGTCCATAGGGTCGCATAGACACGACTGAGCAGCTAAACACAGCACAGCTCATCTGAGCTGGCTTCCCTGGTGGCTCAGGTGGTGAAGAATCCGCCTGCCAATGCAAGAGACCAGGGTGCGACCCCTGGGTTGGGAAGATCTCCTGGAGGAGGAAATGGAAACCCACTCCAGTATTCTTGCCTGGAGAAATCCCATGGACAGAGGAGTCTAGTGGGCTACAGCCCATGGAGTTGCAAAGAGTTGGATACTACTGAGCAACTAACATACACACACACACCTCCAGGTTTAGAGCTGGGCCCTTTCTCTGCTGTGCTCCTTACACACACACACACACATATGTACACACACACACCTCCAGGTTTAGAGCTGGGCCCTTTCTCTGCTGTGCTCCTTACACACACACACACACACACACACACACACACACACCCCTCTCCAGGTTTAGAGCTGGGCCCTTTCTCTGCTGTGCTCCTTACACACACACACACCCCAGAACAGTCCCTTCTTTCCCACCCAGTACAGTTTCTGGCACCGAATAAGCGTCTTATAAGCATTTGCTGGTGAATGAGCAGAGAGGATGCCCACAAGTAAAGCCTCATGGGAGCTTGCCCCGCACTCTGGTGAGGTGACCCCAGCTGCACAAGGGAGCCAGCGGGCCTGAGCAGGTGGCTGTGCCTGAAGAATGGCCATCTCCCCCTTGCAGTTGACCCTGACCTGCCACCCATCCATTCTCCCTCATCCTCGGCCCCACCCTTTGCTCTTTTCAAGGCTTTGATGGCAACGAAAAAGGAATTCTAGTGTTCCCTTCCCAGGGCTTGCCAGATAAAAAAGGAGAGTCACAGGATTGCCTGAATCCAGGGACCTGTTTTTGCCCCACAGTCTTCCTGCCATCCCTGAAGCCACATCAGCTAATCTTGGGGGTCCTGCCCCTTTCCTCTGCTTTCCTCCCCCAAGGTTCTCTTGATTGGCTTCACTCATCTCTGCTGGAAGGAGTAGATGGGGAGTAGGGGAAGGATGGGAAAGAGGCCCAGAACCCTGGGCACAGGCCAGGTAGGAACCTGCACCAACCTCCCTGAGCCCCTGTCATAGCCCGAGGGGCTCTTAGAGAAAGAGGTGGCCAGCAACTTCTGTTATAAAGACGCTTGCCTCATCCACTCTGAAATCAGCAGGACAAGTCAGAGACCAGATGCCCACATCTTCCAATATTTCCAGTGACCAGAGTCAGGTTTCAGGGCACTGCATTCTGAGATCTGGGAGTCCAAGGAAAGTACAGGCAGTGGAAGAGGCTGTAGTGGGCCAGGAAGGTCCCCAGGGTGCTTGGGCGCTGGGCTCTGCCCCAAACCACAGGGCTCTGAGCGCATCTTTGCCCCCTCCACCAGGGCCAGAGTGTGTGTGCACGTGGGTCCTCACCTCCCACTTGAGCATCTCCCACACCCGCCTCCTGCTTCCCCTCCACGCCTCTGACACTAAGCAGGACAAAGAGAATTCTCGAAGCATGTGAACTTACCAGAGGTCAGGGGAAGAATCTGCCTTCGTGGCGAGAACTGGAGCGTGGAGCGGCTGTTCTCGCTGAGCGCTGAGTGCGGGCAGCTCTAGAGGAAAGTCAGGGAGTGTGTGGGAGGGGGCAGCGCCCCCGGCGAGGGTGGGAACTGGGGGAGGGGCGTGGCCGGCGGGGTGCGAGCTGGTCCGAAGCGGGAGGCCAGACAGACCGATCAGGACGGAGCCCAGGGGAGGCCCTTCTCCTCTTTTCTCCGAGAAAAGGTGCTCTGCTCCCCCTTGGAAGCTGGGGAAGTGAGGGTCTGTCTGGGGGGAGGGGAACAGAGGGGCTGGAGACCGCCTCGGAGAAAATTAAATTGCACTTGAGGGCAAATTCTATTAGGGAATAGAGCCTGTCTCTCAGCAGCCTGCGTCCATTTAGGTGATTAGCTCGGCCCAGCACCTCCACCCCAGAGCCGGGGAGCTCTGTCCCTCGGCTCCCGGGAGCCAGGCCGGTGGCCTCCGGGGGCCTAGCCGCCCCTGCTCCCTAGCTCACCCTGGGAGGACCCTTCCCTCACCACTCACGGCCCCCAGGCTCTTTAAGTGGGTGCACCTGGCTGTCCTCCTAGAACACAGGCCAAAAACAAGGACAGGCAAGGCCAGAGAGGATAGAGCTGGGATTCGGACTGCTTTAGGCCTGGGGTAGCGGTGGGGGAGGTCAGAGGTCAGATGAAGACCACTGGGCACCGGGTGGTCAGATGGCTAGAAGATGGGGAGGGTCCAAATAGGAGGAGAAAGGAGAAGAGAAGCGGATCCAGTGAGTGAAAGGGCACCAATAAAAGTGAGGAGATGCACAGGAGGCAGGGTTTCAATGGGCAGAATTTGGCACCAGGGAGGAGGTACAGAGAAATACAAGTGACAGACACGTCCACTGATACATGATACATTCATGAACTGCTGCTGCTGCTAAGTCACATCAGTCGTGTCCGACTCTGTGCGAACCCATAGACAGCAGCCCACCAGGCTCCCGTCCCCGGGATTCTCCAGGCAAGAATACTGGTGTGGGTTGCCATTTCCTTCTCCAGTGCATGAAAGTGAACACATTCATGGACTAGTAAATGGTAAAAATAAATTCAACTGTAAAATGGGCATAATGATAACAACTACTCTCTGGGGCTGTTGTGCTGCCTAAATGCACATACTGAGTTCGACAAATGTTCAGGGTTATTATTAGCTATTGGTTGTGTGTTAATACAGGTCACTCTGTATCTGAGCTCTGGCAGAAAGGTCTAGATTGAGGCCCCGTGACTGAGGCCTATTTACCAGCCCCCTCCTTCCTAGCACTAGTTGGATAGGGCCCTGACTCACAGGCCCATCTCAACCAGCTCGACGGGCCTCTAGATCCTGCTGGCCATGAACCCTTTAAAGAGATGGTGCCTCCTCTCCTTCATACTGAAAGAGTTTTGCTTGATTTCCTTCAGTTTCTGGCTGTAAAATCATTTCATTTGCTTAACAAAAGCACCTGAAATGTATCACGAGGAGAGCCAGTACACCGTTTCCCGAGCAAGGAGAAGCATCAGTGCGCACGACATAGAGTGGGTTCTGAGAACACACAATGAGTGGTGCATCGTCCCTGGCCTGTGGCCGGAATTAGTCTAGTGTATGTGACCCTCCTGTTGCAGGCTCAGATGTCTTAGGCTCCCCCAAGTGCCCTGGGGATACAGAATTTCAGCCCCAATTGAGCTTGACTTTTACATCAAGGGTTAAACTGTGTATTTATATTGCTGGAGTGGTTGCACTGGCCCAAATAGCAATAAATTTGTGTTCTGTGAGTAGGGAAGAAACGGGGGTGTTCAGAAAAGGAAGTGTGTGCTATGTGGGGTATAGGATGTCCCCTGCTCGAGGTTGAGAGCTGGATAGTCACGCTGTTACGGCAGGAAGGGAGAAGCCTAGCACTGTTCTGAATGTGTCCTCCAGCCCAGGGTCTATCTTGGAGAAGCTACTCTAGCCCAGTGATGGGCTCCAGTAAGCCCCCCCAACCCCTACCTGCTGCTCGATTGTCAGGGCAAGGATTTAGTCCCTGAAGGTACCAGTGAGCCCTGCGAGCTAGCTGGTGTTGCAGATGGCCTGGCATCTTCCCTGTGGCAGCTTCTCAGTACCCCAGGGTCCAACCAGTGTGGACAAGACCCCTGCTGTCTGAGAACACCCTCTCTCAACCCTCCCTGCACCTGCTAGAACACCTGCTGACAGAGGGCAAGTCCTTCTGGGGGGTTCCAGCATCTTCATGACAACAACCCCCCTGAAAATACACATTCCTGCCCTTCCTTGCATGCCCCCGCCTTGTCCCAGCCACTCAGTCTTGGCGACCCTCTTGGGCGGCTCTGAACAGGCATTCGAGCACCATGGATTCTCACTAACTGTGTTCTCCAAAGGCGATCTCATTCACTAGTGGCCCTCGCGCTGGAGAGCTTGGGCCAGTTACTCAACTACAAGAAAATGGAGAGAGGAACACTTGCCTCTCATGATTACACCTGAAATCACTGTGCTCAGGATTTGGCCCTTAACAGGTGGCTCAGTGGTAAAGAACCCGTGGGCTTGATCCCTGGATCAGGAAGATCCCCTGAAGGAGGGCATGGCCACCCACTCTAGTATTCTTGCCTGGAGAATCCCAGGGACAGAGGAGCCCGGCGGGCTACCGTCCATGGGGTCACAGAGAGTCGAACATGATAATAAATATTCTTATGAAGTCATCAGGCCCCTTTCTTGGCGTCTCTTGGTTGACAGTAAAGAAACTGTCTTGTTTGCCATTATGCTTCCAGCTCCAAGTGTAGGACCCTGTATATTATGGATCCTTTGGAAATGTATGTTAAAGGGATGAAGGAGTGAGTGAGTTTCTAAGTAATCCACTGCCGCCGCCCGAGACCCGGAGGAACACACCCTCCCGGCGGCAGCTGCTCCCGGGGTGGCCAGCGCGGCTCTGTCAGGCCTAGTTAGGCTGCCAGGCCTGTTATCAGTGTGGTCACCGGCTGGGGACTCGAGCTAACTCAGCTGTCAGGGCCCCACTTACCTCTCACCCCTAATGGTCCCTGGCTCTTTATGTACTTCCTGCTCTCCCATGGCACTCTTTGGACTTTATTATGTGGACCACGTGGTCCCTGTGATGAGAGTTAAAGGAGAAGGAGAAAGCCTGGGATAACAGCCCAGACCCCAAGACACAGGAAAAGCCACACGAGTCTCCCGCGTCAGCACAGCTTGCTGGGACGAGTCTGGGGGGTTCTCGCCCACCGGTCCTCAGGATGCTGCCCTAGACCCAGGGCGCATGCTGCTTATTCCCTTCTTTCCAAGTCCTGGCCCCCCTTTCAGGCCACCTGAGGCATCACAGAACCAGATCCTCAGGCAGGAAGCAGCTGAGGGGACTTCTAGCCCATCGCTTGCCCTGCAGAATTAAGTCTGTGGGCCCTTCGGGGCAGCCACCTGGTCTCTGTATGGA